GTATCAGACTGTACAATGACCAACTGTTGGCTTTACAATCCGACTTAGAGACTTGTAACAAAGCCCACAGCGCCAGGAGGAACACATGTAGATGACTGTTCACTTCCTGATTCATGCCGTTTTTTTAATTTATGGACATATTTTGGACATATGTTTTTTTTGCTAATTCTCTGCACTGGCTTCATGTGGCTGAGAATAGACTTTAAAGCCGTGAACGCGATGGTTCTGACCCACATTTCTACTGCTATCTTGTGTAAAAAGTCTCTCCATGGACTCACACCAAAGTACATCTGTGACATGTTAGTGCCATATGAACTCTGAGGAGCACAGGGACTGGCCTCCTGCTGGGACTCTGAGGAGCACAGGGACTGGCCTCCTGCTGGGACTCTGAGGAGCACAGGGACTGGCCTCCTGCTGGGACTCTGAGGAGCACAGGGACTGGCCTCCTGCTGGGACTCTGAGGAGCACAGGGACTGGCCTCCTGCTGGGACTCTGAGGAGCACAGGGACTGGCCTCCTGCTGGGACTCTGAGGAGCACAGGGACTGGCCTCCCGCAGGTGCCCTGAGTGAGAACTAAACATGGAGAGGCTGCGTTTCAGATTTATGCAGCTAAAATCTGGAACAGTCTTCCTGAAAATGTGAGCCAGGCTTCTACTCGGACCATATTCAAATCCAGGTTAAAAACGGTTTAGTTTATCTGTGAATACAACTGAAGGACTGTATCTCTTTAATGTATATGGATTATTTATGATTTGACTGCCTTGTAGGATTGTGGCCATATTTGCATGCCAAAGCCAGGACAGTGGGGCGGCTGCGGCTGTAAAGTGCCAAACTGCCGTTGTGTCCTTAGGCAAGACACTTCACCCCCATTGCCTAGAATGAGTCTGGTGTGTGTGTGAATGGTTGGTGGTGGTCGGAGGGGCTGACGGCACATACTGGTTGCCTCGCTTCTGTCAGTGTGCCCCAGGGCAGCTGTGGCTACAGTAGTAGTTTATCACCACAGTGTATGGAGTGAATGAATAATGACATGTGAAGCGTCTTTGAGCGTCCAGAAAAGCGCTGTATAAAATTGATGCATTATTATCATTATTATTATTGTTTATATCTTGTTTTGTTGAGCAGAGTTGCCTATATGCACTGTGCAAAACAAAAAACAATTGTATAACCGTTTAACACACAATAGGTTTAATTTGACTATACAACTCATTCCAACAATGAGGCCGACACAACAGACTCTGACAGCTCCCCATGGCCTCCCACCAAAGTACATCTGTGACATGTTAGTGCCATATGAACCAACTCTGACTCCGAGGAGCACAGGGACTGGCCTCCTGCTGTGACTCTGAGGAGCACAGGGACTGGCCTCTGACAGCTCCCTCATCATACACACATAGACACACACATCCAGAGCAGACTCGCTAGTTCTGATAATTGGCACGTTCATGGACACGTCGTTGCCTCTCGTTGTATAAGCCGCGGATCCTCGGCTCAGGCACATCATCACTTCGCAGCCTTGACCTAGATACGCAGCGCGGCACATCACCACCAGACACCTTTTTACGCACGGCTTCCACACACGCCCGGTTAATCGATTCCCCCGCACATGTAACCGAACCGCATCTGCCCCTCACTCACCTCCACGAAGTAGAAGCAGGGCAGCAGGCTCACGCTGTCTTTGGTCAGGGTCCTCTTTTCCCGCGCGGACATGTTGGTGCGCTGGGTGGGGGGGGTGGTGGCGGTGGTGGATGGGGGAGAGACGCGGAGAAGAGACGTGGAGGGGGGGATGATGGAGGAGATCACAGCCCGAGCATGGCCACGGCACGGCGGCTATATCCGAGGGGCGGCGCGGCGGGGGCGGCTGGAGCGGAGCGCGGTGAGAGCATGTCCTCCTTCAGAGCGCGGAGCAGGTATGAGGAGCTGGAGGAGGGGCGCATGCGCGGTGGAGAGCACAGGGGAGAGGAAGGGCTAGGGGTGAGATGGTGGCGGTAGGGAGGGGGGTGGGGGGTGACCTTACATAGTTCACAGCAGAGATGAGACAAGTTCAGCGATAATGTGGCCATACCTGCATGTTTAAGCCAGATACGTCAGACCTCTGAAGCTAAGAATTTCAAGGTCTGGTTAGTGCTGTAATGGGAAACCTTTGGGAGCTCCGGCTGCGGCTGTAAAGTGCCAAACTGCTGTTGTGTTCTTAAGCAAGACACTTCACCTACATTGCCTAGAATGAATCTGGTGTGTGTGTGTGTGTGAATAATTGGTGGTTGGGGGCGCCAATTTTACATACTGGTTGCCTAGAATATGTATTGTATTAATAATTTATCACCACTGTGTTTGGAGTCAAAGAATCATGACATGTGAAGCATCTTTGAGTGTCCAAAAAAGGGATATAAAATGGATGCAGCATTACTATACACAATTAACCTTTTTCTTTTGGATGTACACACTACAGTCTCTTCAATGTGTAAATAAATACCGTACAGGGGATGCTAGGAGACAAAGATTCAGATTCAGAGATTCAGATTCATGTTATTTGCCATTTGCAGTAAAACCACATTGAAATACATATGCAAAAGTCCACAGTGTGCACAAGTACATAGGTTGTTACCAGATAAAATAAATACAAATAAAATGTACATAACAAAAAATACATAATACACAAAGCTTAGTATTTTACCTCGACATAAAGCAGAGGATGGATTTAAACGGAAAATGTTTCAAGGATTGTGTTGTTTTTTCTTGCGTTTGGGAGATGTGTGAGGTGTGTGCGTGATTATAAAGATCATCCATGTCCAAACTAAAGCCCGTCAGCCATTTTTGCCCCTTCCTGTCATTTTATATGGCCCTCTGCCTTGTTAGCCGCAAGCAGTCGTTGAGATCATAAACACGTTCACAGTGTCATCCAGCCAACTTCAGCTCTGCCACCATTGATTATATGCGACTGTATCTGTGAATCAGTATTTGTCATTCAGCTGTGTCAAACGTAAGCTAATATAGAAACAGCATATCTAACGTAACTGCCCTTCTCACTAAAAGGTTTGGACACCCCTGATATAGAAGTTCATTTTTGGCGGGTATTGTGTCGTTTTCAGCCTCTTGGCAACGTGAAGCATCAAAATACAACTGTAATTGTTCTTTCTTTTTAGTTTATTGTTATTCCTGTTTTATCTTTTTTCCCAAAATTTATATTTCTACAAAACTTTTCATTTTTTATTTACTGTGATATTTTCTTTTGCATTCCATAATTGTTATGTTTTTTAATTATGGAATTTTTACCACCAAAATTACAAAGGCAAAAACTCTGAATAAATAAAATTTAACATTCACGCAATCAAACAATAAAACAGTTAAAACGAATGTTAAAAGCCAGTCTGAATAAATTGATTTAAAAAGGCCAAAATCAGTCGGGACAGGCACATCAGGGGCAGCTTGTTCCAGCTTGTCTGGATCCAGCGACTGATAACGACTTGATTTTATCCATGAGAATAAAGTTGCTGTAAATTAAATACTGTTTACTGCACACAGAGTATATATTATTGGCTCCTGAGCCCTATTTTTATTATCATGCAGGATCGGCACAAAACAACACACACTCTCACACGCATACACAGACATACACACAAACATAGACACAGACACACTCACTAAAACAGACACACATAGACACTCACACATACACTCTCTCTCACTCACACACCTACACTCTCTCACACACACACTCACACACACACACACACACACACACACACATACTGTGGTTTCTCGTGTCTCGTGGAGAACAGGACACCACAGCACACAGAGTAAAGTGCAGCAGGTGTGTTTTCTGTGTTAACCTCAATAATGATCTAAGGCAATGTTTTAAGAGATGAGTCTTCTGTGATCAGTCTGACCGTATCGCTCTGCACTCTGCCCTTTTCCTCTGAAAACGTGGCCGCATCAAAGTCCACCTTAGAAGTCAGCAATCAGTAATTGTTTTTAATTCCAAAAATCCCTGTGCACAGTTCTGCTCAAGAACAATTGGAGCAAATATAAAACATGCTAACATGTACACCAAGGGCGTAGGTTTGCGTGGGGACCATGGGGACATGTCCCCACCAATATTTGGTGAGGACTAAAAAGTCCCCACCAAAATGACATGAAGTCCCGTGACCCGGACGGTCCGGGACACATGTCTTCCGTTTGTGCATACGTCGCGCCTCCTCCTCGCCTCCAGAGCAACAGCAGCAGCAGCAGCATGTGACCCGTTCCGTTCTCTGCAGTGATTGGCTGTCTTCTTCAGCGCCAAACTGAAGCACTGAGCAACTGTTTAATTTTTAAAAGTTAGCCAGCGTGAAGCAAGTGTTTTTTTCCGTTCCCTGAGCGTTGTAGCACGTGAGTAATCAGAGGAAAGTACTGTAGATCTATTACCATTCAAAGTACTTACGTTATTTCTAATCTGTCAGCGCACTGTTTAATGTTCCGAGGAGCTCACACGGCACAGAGACAGAACAGAACTGGCTCCAATAAAGAAACAGGTTGGTTGAAAGGCTGAAAAAATACTTACTGTGCTCTTACTATCCAAAATGTATAAGTGGGTGTGTTGTGTGAATCAGGATAAACTAGGGATGAAAATATTCCACGGATCCACGATTTACAACCTTTATCTGCTGATAATGTAATTTCTGTGAAATGTGTGACTGCGGGCACTTGCTGTTATTTGCTCTAAGCACATTCAAGCGATGCACTCGAATGTGCACGTCCTGGTGCAGCTGCTGCCGCTTTGTAATGACAGCCGCGGCGCTCAGTGAAAGCACAGCTCTAACATGGTACCGAGCTCGGACCATATGCAGACAGAACCATGTTGCAAGTGCGGGTCTCCCTCGTATCTCCCCCGTCTCTCCCCTGTGTCTCTGACATGTCTCTCCCCTGACTCTTCCCAAAGCGCAACCAGCGCTTCCGAAATTAAAGCTCGGATACCTACATTTTCCATTGCGTTAACGATGCATGCTGGTTGTGTGCAAAACACACCACAACAGGTCATTTAAGTTTTTATTTTGCATACTTGAGAGCCCTGTGAGTCATTACTTGCCTTTTTGGGTAGAGAGTGGAATAAAAAAAAGAAAATATAGAAAAATCCACACTGTTACTTATTGCCAAACTCTTGTTAACTCATTGTATTGAGAAAAACTATGTAACTTTTGACATTGGCCAAGTTATATAAATGATTCTGCAGTTCATGTATATGAATGTCTGTTTTTGATTGTCTATACCTTCTTATATAATTTAGAAAAAATGCCACCTCCACAAATAAGATAAAAGATATCAGGAGCTTTTTTAACAGTTGGAAAGTAAGTAAGAGAAAGCACAAGTAATAGCAAATTATGAATTGTGATGATTAATCTTCTGTTAACATACATAACTGCTTCTCATTCAGTCTACAGCTGAGTTTAGTATAGAAGGCAACACACTATTGCAAATATAGTGTGTGATTACACAACAAATTCTGGGGGAGAAACTCTGGACCCCGTGTCAATGGGTGTAGACTCAGGTCGTAGTGAATGTCCCCACCAAGATTGGAACCAAACCTACACCATTGATGTATACACACACAATACAATTTATTCTTGTATAGCCCTAGGTCACAACAGAAGTCATCTCAGAGACTTAACACAACCATTGAAATCACCAACACAGGTCAGAGAATCAACAGTTAACACATGGAGAATATAAAGCACACACAGAAGAAAATGTCCATACATGTTGTAGAATGCTAAAGTGTCCTGATCATCACCAATCCTTTCTGTTGGACACTAACTGTCCAACAAGACCCTCCTGCATCGACAAGGAAAAACTCTTAAAAAACCCAGTGGGAAAAAGTGAGAAACCTTGGGGAGAACTAGGGAAACCCACAGGGAGGGAGACCCATTTGAGAAAGGGATCCGCTCCTCCGGACGGACAGGCTAATGATCCAGGACCTAAGCTAGCTACAGGACGTGGACCAGTGGACGCTGAACGTGGACAGGTCCGGTGCAGGACTGAAGCACTCCCAGGCGGGTCGGGCGGGGCAGTCCGCAGGTGCAGATGGAGGAGGCCAGGCTCAGAGATCCCGTCATCGTACCATGAAACAGACAATGGGACAACGGGTGAATAGCAATGAACAAACTACAGTCAGAATCCTAAAAGTGCTAAACAGATAAAGTAGATAAAGTAGGAAGGAGGAGAGGATAGTGCTCAAGTTACCATACTTCTCCCAGCAAACTGACTCCCTATGCAGCTTGACTGACAGTCTGAGGAGTTTAGCCTTCCCCGAGTCTTACCTTCCTAACCATATGCTAAACTAAAGAGGACTGTTTTAAACCTAGCCTTGAATAAAGAGATTCATGGATTGCACACCAGGTGTGCAAACCGATCCAAGCAAACCTAATTATGTATTATATATCATATACATCACATATACCATACATACCATATATATCATATATAATACACAACATAACATACAGCATAATATATAACATAATATACAACATAACACAATACATTATTGTATAATATATAACATAATATATAACATAATACAGCATACATATATAACATATACACCATATATTATATATTACCTAATTATATGCTAAATTAAAGTAAAGTGCTTTAAGCCTGGCCTTGAATGTGGAGACCGTATCTGCTTCCTTAACATAAATGGGAAGCTGATTCCACAGTAAAGGAGCTTGGTAGCTAAATGCTCTGCCACCAACAGTGATTTTTGGTGAGCGCAACGCTCGACTTGGTTGATACGACACTAACGTGTCTTGGAGATAAGAAGGAGCCAAGCCATTTATGGCTTTATATGTTAAGAGAAGGATTTTAAACTTTATTCTGTACTCCACAGGGAGCCAGTGGAGTGATTTTAACACCGGAGTTATGTGCTCCCTCCTTTTGGTACCTGTTAAGATCCTGCTGTATTCTGAACGAGCTGGAAGCTCTTCAAAGACGCTT